TTAATAACTTAATTTTTGAAATAAATTAAGTTTAATTTTTCATATTCAAAAACTTGTTAGTGCAAAGGATTTATAAAAACATAGGTAACTAACAAACTAAAGAGTTAAAAACATTGTAGAGTTATCAGGTGTAGATGGTGTGATTAGAAAAACATTGTCAAAAAATCTAGAAATTAAAAATTATTCAGGGTGCGTCAGAACTCGCGCTAGCAGAAACATAAAAAAATGTTTTGCACTTTGACTCTATTTATTTCTGTTGGAGAAATAATTTTCCAAGTTTTTTGGCTACAGGCTATTAAAAGAGGAAATAAGGAACCTGTATCCTAATTTGTAACTCTGTTTAATGTTAGTTGTCGCTTTTATTGGCAAAGTTTTTATACCTTTACCTACTAAATGATTATAAAAAAACGCATACAAGATCATCAGTATCTTTAAATAGACATAAAAAATGGCAAATGTCAAAAAATAAATGTCAAAATTTTTTTACACAGAATTTTTTAAACGTTTTTTTTATGTTTCTGGTATATCTTATCTAACTTGGAATTTTTCTCTGGGGCGCGAGTTCTGGCGCATCCTGTATACTATATCAAATTTAAGAAAAGTGTAATAAAATATTATTAATAATAATAAGGTATTAAAAAGAAGAAAAGCAGTTTAAAAAAGTTTATATTTTAATGTCTTAAAATCAAATCAAAACTTTATTTTTATTTGGAAAGTGTTTGAATAAATAGAACAAACCAATTCCGTCGCTTTGCCGCCGGAAAGACCTTGGCCAAAACGCTCAACCTCGTTTGCTTCATTATAAATCTTCTAGTCCTTGTAAATCAGTAACAAAAGCCACTTTGCTTCTAAAAATGAGTTAAGCTTTGAACGTTCCTGCATGATGAAAATTAGATGATTTCAGAAAATATTTTGTAATTTAGTGCCGGCAAATGTGAGAAATGTCGCTAATTTGCAAAGTCTAGTGTTATCAGTTGTGTAGGTAGGTGTTAAGTGGAATGAAAGAATGGAATTTTACAGATAGTTAAACAAATAATTGTAGAAAGTAATCACAATCACACACGCTTGCATTTTTGTTAAATCTATATTTACACCTAGAAGTATAAAAAAAGATCTTTTGTAGTACTGTGATTTAGAAAGTAAGTATTTTTTGTGTGTACTGTAACAATTACAACTCCCATAAAATTTAATTGATTGTTTGCTTACGTTTATCTAAAGTTGAGCGGAAAATCAGAAGTCCGTTTTATATGTTTGCTCAAAAATTATCCCATAATTTACGATCCATATATTACTTTATGTAAAGAGGGTTATTTTACGTTCCTTTCCGAAATTGTATACGTCGTATACAAAATTTAAATAAACTTTATAAAATTCATCACTGACATTTTTTATTGTGACTCTATTAAATTTTTCAGAGACATTAAGTTTTATGCTACCCCTCGTTGCAACTTTCTGCAACAAAATACACGATGCTCATAAATAAATCGCGAGTTATCCATATAGGTTGTAAATAAAATGTTGGATTGAAACCTAATAACTATCAAACAAAAACGCATATCATAAATATCGCCTGAAAAAGGAACCGAATTCTGTATCCCATTACAACACAGCGATGCAATTTTCCTTGCATGTCAAGCCCAGTGCACAAAAAGAAAATAAGCCAACCAACCGTAAAAGTCACAAACTTGAGTAAAATAAGAGCGAAGCAAACTGGAAAAGAAAATTTTGCACAAGAAAATCGTTTATCTAAACTTGGTTTTATTGCATCCACTTGCAATAACTCTTACAGGCTTAGCCCAAAACTTTAAAGAAATTCACCGAATAAAATTCATGACCTGTAAATATCCAGCAATTCCTTCCGTGTCATTGAACGCAAAGAAAACAACTAAATTGTTGATTCCATTCGAAGCAAAACACGTCTTTTTGCCCGGTCGGCAATATTTAAAAATTAATCGAACGTGCTTTTATCTTAGGAAATAGTTTTACGAGACGAGCAATTTCGACGCACGAATGCATTTGTGGTTAATAGCTCTCCATCTCGAAATTATGTATCTCGTGTTTATTGAAGCAGAAAATGCAAAAAGCACACAGTGACTCGCTAAAAGCAATCAAGACTCGAGTAAAAATCAGCAAGATGGCGTTTTTGCTACTACTAAGTATTGTTGATTGTGTTGGGAGCAAGATATACGAGATATCGTAAAGCATACATTATTACACTTAAATTATATGTAGTATAATCGATAAATCACTAAGATTCTCGACAGGTAATTAATATACTGACCCGACTAAACTCGGAGCACATTAAACGAACTTTAACTAATGATCTAACAGGTTCGTCAATCATATTCGAAATTAAATTTTTATTGACATATAAAAGTTGTGTCAAATGTTTAGATGTAGGAGATAGGTTTATTGATGTAACAATATCATTATGGGTCGTTCAGACACGTGCGAACTACCACACTAACGTGACAATAAAACTTTTTAATGGCGGACGTCACTTAACTCAATTTCTTCGCGAAAAGCGCACTCAAACGATCACTGATAAACGATTTACAAAAATCCCAGCAATCAATTTTACCAATGTCGTAAATTTATTACACATTTTTTAATAAAAAAAGAATAAATCTAATAGAAAAAAAATGTTACAGCCATATACCCAATCCTATCTTATTTTCCAAATCGTTGTAGCTCAAAATATTTAGGTGCAAAAAAGCTAACTGAAACGCTAATAAATAAATAAAGTTCTACATAAAACTACATAAAAATTTGTTTGATAGTTTTACAAATTGGAAAAAGCTTAAAAAAAGTTCTTCACAAATAAATAAATGATATTAAATGATACTTATTAAGGTTTTCAAACGAGTATTAAAAAAACACTATTAAAAAATCTTTTTACACAATAGAAGAATATTTCTCTTTTAATTTTTCTAATATTGGAAATAATAAATGTTTAAATGTATTAATTGTATTTTTGTCTGTCTATTGACCTTTTCTACAACTGTTTCAAGTTCCTAAGAAATAAAGCTATGTTTATTTATTTATTTAATACACTTTTTTGTATCATAATTTTTATTTGTCTTAATTTACCTACCCACTTTAGATATCTTGCAAATAGAAAAAAATCAAATTTACTATAGGTATTACGTGTACTTTAATATTATTTATACAAATATTTACTCTAACAAAAGATTTTGTTAATTACCAGATTTCTCATCAGACAGACCAGTAAAATTTCATTCTCTAGATTAATTTCATTTTGAATGGTAATTATGATAATAAGTTCAGATCAAATAATTGTCTATTAAAATTTTGTAAGTTTGTAATTTTAAAGCACAGATTTTTATTTTTAACCTTAGAACAATTTGTCTTAATTGTATAATCAAACAACATAAGGTAATTACAATTAATTAGAGTATTATATTAAACTTATTTCTGATTATACAACTAAGACAATTTGTTCTAAGGTTTAAAATAAAAATTTGTGTTTTAAAATTACAAACAAGACAAAATTACAAAATATTCTTATATTGTGTAAAAAGGATTTTTAATAGTATTTTTTTAATACCTACTCGTTTGGAAACCTTAATATCATCTAATATCATTTATTTATTTGTAAAAATCTTTTTTGAAGCTTTTTCCAATTGGTGAAACTATCAAACAAATTTTTATGTACCTAGTTTTATGTAGAACCTATTTATTAGCGTTTCAGTTGGCTTTTTTGCACCTAAATATTTTGAGCTACACCGATTTGAAAAATAAGATAGGAATGGGTAGGTATACTGATGGCAGTAATATTTTTTCTATTAGATTTATTCTTTTTTTATTAAAAAATATGTAATAATAAACAACATAAGGTAATCACAATTAATTAGAGTATTAGGTACATTATACTTATTTCTATTATTAAATCATTTAGATCACACTACATTTGTTTTTGATTTATGTGCACATAATGTATTTTATTTAAACAAAGACTATAATTTTTTAACAACAATTTACTAATTTAAAAAAAAAATACAAATTAATTCAAATTTAACAAATCACAGTAAGTTGTCCTCAAAGTTAAATAACGTAATCGTATATATTTTTTTACATTTTATATTCTGTTTATAGACTCTTAGTTACAACCTAAATAATAAAAAAATAGTTAGACTTGCAAAACAGTGGCCCATAAAAATTAAATGAAATATTAATTTTGTTCATTATCTGTGAACCTACTTGGTATTACCATTCGTAAGCATTAGCAATTAAAATTTTCCTCGATCAAAATAATCGCATTTCTACTTGGATTTACGCTTCTGCGATTTCCCCCAAAGCATGTAACGTTATGGCTATCATAAAACCATTACCTATATGCATTGCTATTAAGTTAAATATTATTGCTTCTCTCTGCATAGAAGGCATTCGTCTGATTTACGAGGAGGCCGAGTAATAAACTAATGCAATTTTCAGTAGCTTACCCGCAAGTAGCCACTTTCGTCCCTTGTTTTCTCGATTTCTTATTTTTTCAAACAGTAATGAGTGAAAAAATAAATGACTTATGACTTGTAACTTCATCTAGCAGAAACCTGTAAGACCAGATAGCATCGCGATACTTTGTTGCAAATTGCAATCGGAATGTTTCAGGCTTTTTCCACGGGTGTGAGACGAAGAGGGAGAGAATTTACGTGGTGGTTGTAATGACCGAGTGGGTCGACGGTTTATACACAAGACTCAGCCGTAAATTATATTCAATAATATTTATGAACGTTTCAGAATTCTGATATGAGATACAAGAATGTAAATAGCCAAATCGAAATCGAGGGTGAAATAAGTGCAAAGCACGAGACCTTAAAGCGATAATTCTTTATCGAAATTTTTCAAATTTGCATTAATGCAAATAAGGTGTCAGGATATGCAAAACTATCTTAATTTATAAAATATGGATGAACTTTTTTAATTAAATGTTATCTGTTGGGTCACCTACCTTGTACGAGGATAAAACCTTCAAATTTTCCGAATTGGAAGACTCTCTGAAATAGACATAAAATTATTATTTTTTTTCTTAGCTTGATTAAATATTTACAATGAAATGATGCGTATTTACAAAGCAAGCAATCATAATAAACTTGTCTGCGTTTACGTTCTGCATTAGCCATAAAAATTTTATCCCATACTATCTATTACGCGAAAATCACAATTATACCAATCTCGAAGCTTAAAAATTCTCTAACGTAAATATTCCGGTACTAAAATACAAAAACCTTGAATAAAATTTACACAAGTTGCACGTGTCGTTAGTCTGAAAATACATCAACGCCGGTCAATCGTGATAAGTCGCTATACAGTTTCGATTTTTAAAGCCATTTTGTAATTATCAAGAGCCGGGAACGATGTTGAAGAAATTTTAATGGAGATAATGAAACCGGTTTCGCTCGCCAATAAACCGCCACAGCTCTTTTGACAAAAGCTGAAAAATTCGTTCCTCTGAAAGCTCACACTCTAATCGATTTCACATGTTAAATTGCACAACGCTCGCGAGGCTAATTGAGCTTTTTTAAAAAAAAAAATGTATGCATACCTCATGCATATTTAAACGGTTGTCTCTAAACGCAGTTTAAAGTTTTTGATTAAACAGTTAATTATCAGCTTATCAAACACGGGGTACACTTTTTGCGATATTTCTATTAAAATAGTACACGGTAGAATAAACTTGATAAAATTGACGTAAATGTTTAACGACATGCACAGGATGCGCATAGAGATAATTGCTAATTTAACCAAAAACTTAAAAATTGTGATTAAACTTTTTATTGTAAGTACCTATGTAAAACATAAATTTTTACAAATAAAATTTAAATAAAAAAGTACCAAGTGTGTTGTTTGCAGTTTTGCAAAAAACAATAACAGCTATTGGTAACAAATAACAACAAATTTCTTTTATCATTTCTTTTGTCAAGGAAGTTTTTTTACATATTTTTTTAATATATTTACTTAGTTGATTGTAATTTCACAATACAGACCAGTTTTTGTAATAAAAAATTGTTGAACATCAGAAAATAAAAATAAAAGAGTGCTAAAGCGTTATAACAGTTTGTCAACAACAGTAGTTTTACTTTTACTATTCCCATTATTGCATATTTATTTTTAACTGTTAACTGTTTAATAAATAATTGCTTTTCAACATATCAATTCATATTTCATTTTTAATTATCCTCTATACAAAAGCCTTCGATTTTCAAGTTTCCTGCTGTGGCCCCCTCTCATCTCAAACTACCAAAACCATAATAAAATGCTAATCATAATCTGGGATAATTTTATGTCAACTATAAACTCCCATTTTTTATGAAGTCATTGTTAAACTCAAAAAACCGGTCTTAATTCTTCTAAAGAAATATTTTTTAATTAAACAGGAAATAATTAAGACATTCAGATTCTGAAAAATGGTTGAAGCGGCTTGGGACTAATTTAAATTTTAATCAAACAATGTTTCGGATAGAAGAAAAGGTAATATGGCGTCAGGTGCTAACCGCAATGTGAAGTATATATTTTTGTAATTAATTTAAATGCAGTTTTATTTATAATTATTGCTAATCGTTAAGCAGTTAATAAACGCGTGTTTAATGCAATGTCGTTATAATAAAACTAACGCTCTATCAAACAGGCGCGATTAACGATAAATAAAAAAATTAAGTAAATATCGTAAAAATTTAAGTACTGGTTATATTTACATAGTCGAAAGCTTGAAAAGCTTTTTTTGGTTAGAGTTGTGAGTTTACCTCTTAGTCCTTGAATCACTTTCACTTTGCACAACACCCCGAGTTCAGTGTCCTTCAATTGGTGCAAAAACACATCTACATCTTTAACAATACACCAGCGTTATGAATCGGATCCATGGTCGAGTCGACCAACCAGAACCCAGCACTGTAAAGTAGTGACTTAGCAAGGGGTAGCAGTCGGACCCCTCTAAAGCCGAAGAATGTAAAGCCGGCTTTATCTCGATGGAACAGAAACCCGTGGCACGACTCACATAATTACCTCAGGGTGAAATGAAGACACCAATAAACCCATAAAATCTAACTTTAGAATAAGGGTTTGAAAAAAGTGTTTTGCATGAGGGCGAAATTTCACTTTTCAGGTAATTGAAGGGTTGTGGTTTTATCCCCAAACCGCAAAATAGTCAACGGCTGGCCTTCAAACCGGACACAAGTGTGTGTTTTTCGTGAATTAAGATGTCGAGACTGTTCTTAGCGTAGGTTAAAAGTTCCAAGCATGGCTGACAAAGACAAAGAGGGCTTGGAAGAGGAGGTCTCAGTGACGGGAGGTAAAACAAGTTTGATTTGTATCGTCGATATTTTAAGCACGGAAAATTAATAACAGTGGCACCAACACAACGTTGTTTCTTAAATTAAATTCCGGGGATATTTAACCGCACACGAAGAACTATAATGAGGCCAAACCGACGGGAATTTTTATCGCTTTTTTCGAATTCCCGACAAGGTTTTTGAGACATCTAGTCGGAGTGATATTTCGCACGAAACTGTTTGTGCTCATAAGTTTTATTGGAAATAGCGGCGAGTACTTGATCAGGGGAAAAGAACGGCTGTTGTTTCACTCACGCACCAATCAACGACACTTTCATGTGTTTCATATGTGATACGTTGCTTTCAAGGTGATGGAAACACCACGATTTACATTTTTTCTACATAAATTAAGCCAAGCCACGACTCTATCTGATCATTCGAAATTTTATGTCCGAGGTAATCTTTAAATTCACTCTTATCTTTGACGAAATTTTATAAATGTCTAATAAAATTTTCACGGAAATCGAAAATATCAAATAAAATTTTACAAGTTATGAGCTGAGACAACATCAGATAGGTTGTCATAGCTGAGTTCAAACGATACATACAAAATTTTATTTAAAGAATACAAGGTATTATGTGACAAGATTTTAATAATATTACTAAAGAACTAAAAATACCTACAGACGTTTAATAGATCGAATTTTGTTGATGTTAAAAAAATAAAAATTTATCATCACATACATACCTACTCTTATTAAAAAAAGTTTACCAACGAAACCTAAAATTTTATAATTAGGTACATAATAATTATAATGTGTCTAATTTTCAATTAATGTTTCTAACCATATAACCCAAAAAAAATTTTACCGAGCACTTTTATCGTTTTCCAATTTCTCATTAAATATTAACCTGTTGACATTAAAAAATGTTTATAGCATACCTATTAGTGCTATATTTTTCAATTTTATTTTCTATGTTTTGGTCAAAATATATCATTAAAAATACTTAAATTGTTTATTTAATAAATCATTATCAGCCAAAGATGTTAAACATTGTCCAAAAAACAACACATTTACGATTAATTAACGAATTAAGTCTACGATTAAGTATTTACCGAGGTATTTACCTACGTAGATATATATGTATTAACATTTTTCAAAATTTTTGGAACCGAGGGCAACTGTTTTTTGTTGTAACATTTTTACGCTGTTTTCTTTTATGTAAAAAAGCAATTTAGTTTCTAATAAATGGATTGATCGGTTAATATTAATTGATAAATAATAAACTCAATAGATGCGTTGTCTATTTTTCAGCAAATTTTTGTAAAAAATTCAAAAGAAACATGTATTTTTTGCTGACAACCGCGACATTATATTTCTGCAGATCAGTACTGGATTCTAAATAGTCTTAATTTTGATGCTTTGTTATATTAAAAATTAATCACAAAATCAAGTTAAAATTTTTTACAATCATTTAATTAAATATAGTTTTTCTTATTTAGATAAATTAAATTATAACGCTTGAGATATTTATTATTAGTGTTTTTTTTAAATACAGTGAACGGCAAAATTATGGAATAATCTTATTTATTAAAACTGAAAATATTTTGTTTTGACAAAATGCTCAAACAGCTCAATTTTCTTTTTAAAGAATACAAAATTTTCAACTTAATTTAAATAATTGTATGTTTGTTTTTTGTTGATATTATTTCACTTTTTGGATTTTTTTTTTTTCAAAAACATTATGAAGGTAATTTTTAATATTTTGGTGTTTAAAAGATCTATCGAATTAGCTGAAAAAATTGTGAATTTCCATTAGGTTCTCATTACTCAGAAACCAAAAAGTGTAAAATTTTAAATCAAATTGGAAATTGTACATTAAAAAAAAAAAGAAAATTGACTTGTTCGAGCATTTTTGTCAAGACAAAATATTTTCAGTTTTAATAAGATTATTCGAAAATAATGCCGTTTACCGTATACTTATAACTTAATAATAAATAGTGCCAAAATATAGGTATTTACCTATGGTAATGTTTAAAATAATATATTTTTAAATAATTTGAAAGTGCAATAATATGCATGTTGGTATGTATTATTTAGAAAAATAACAAATACAAGATTATTTTTGTGTCAGTGCACAGTAATCAGTCAAAACTGTGGCAGAATCAAAGTCTGGTACCTAAAGTATAAAATTTGTTTTTGTATCTCTAATTTGTCCCATGCGTCCCTAGCTCAGTGTGTCAATTTTTTATATTAGGTCGGGTCGTTGTTAATCCTCCCTTTAATTTTATTAGATATGAAGTTTGCTTGCCGAATCGAAAACAAGCCATAAATAAAACAAACAATATTTTCTCATCGGTCCCACGGCCCATAAAAATAAATTTGTCATCCTTGTGTCAAAGTGTATGTGTAAGGTCAACAAATAAAGTAACAATAAAATATGCATGGAAACTTCAAAGGTGGCTCTCTGAAGAATAACGTCTTTATCCCTCCATCAATGTTCCAAAGTTCACGTATCTGAAGTGACATTACCCTTCGTCAAGGGACTAGGCTGTTTACGACATCACGCAACGGGTTGATTGCTTTCCTTCGAAAACGACTCCGGAGTGATCTCTGTGAACGCTCCTAGTCATTATTTGCCCAAAGCTCATCAACCAAAACGTTCGTCTTATCGAAGGTTCTCAAGCAAACGTGACCCTTGATCTCGCACACAGAACGCCCCTCATT